GATAGCTTTGCTGGATAGAGTTATCTTGGTTATAGGTCCTTGCTATTCAGCACTTTGATTATTTCTTGCCACTCCCTTCTGGCCTGCAAAGTTTCTGTTGATAAATCAGCTGACAGTCCTGTGGGTGCTCCCTCATAGGTAACTAACTGCTTTTCTCTTGCTGCTTTTAAGATTCTCTCTTTGTCTTTAACCTTTGGCATTTTGATTATGATCTGTCTTGGTGTGGACCTCTTTGGGTTCATCTTGCTTGGGACTCTTTGTGCTTCCTAGCCTTGTAAGTCTATTTCTTTCACCAAGTAGAGGCAGTTTTCTGTCATTTTTTTCTTCAAGTAGGTTTTTAGTATCTTGCTCCCTCTCTCTTTCTGGCACTCCCATGAAGGAAATGTTGGTACACTTGAAGTTGTCCCAGAGGCTCCTTATACTATCTTCAGGTTTTTGGATTCTTTTTTCGTTTTTCTCTTCTGATTTGGTGTTTTTTGCTTCCTCATATTTCAAATCGCTGATTTGATTCTCAGCGTCCTCTACCCTTGATTACTTATAAATTATTCTTTATTTAAGTTAGTGTATGCTTAATTTCTGACTGGTCCTTTTTTTATGTCTTTGATGTTCTCACTAATTTCCCTGAAATTTTCACTAAGGTCCTTGAAATTCTCACCAAGTCCCTTGAAGCTCTCATTAAGATGTTTGAGCGTCCTTATAACTACTGTTTTGAATTCTGTATCTAATAGTTTGCTTGCTTCCATTTCATTTAGTTCTTTTTCTGGAGATTTCTGTTCTTTCACTTGTGACATGTTTGTCTCCACATTTTGGCTGCATCCCTGTGTTTATTTTTATGTATTAGGTGGAGCTGCAATGTCTTCTGGAATTGGTAGAGTGGCTTTGTGTAGTAGGTGTCCTGTAGGGCCCAGTGGCTCAGCCTCCATGGTCACCCTAGCTGGCCCTGTAGACTGTCTTGTAGTTGAGCCTTGATTGCTATTAGCATCTCTGGGAGAAATTGACCCCCAGGCCAATTGGCAGTGAAGACCAGTTGCGACTACAGTGGAAGAGCTGCTATGCAGGAGACACCCTTATGGGGCAGGACTTGCTTCAGTGGGGCTTTGGTGCTCACTGAGTCTGCCCCTTGAGTGCGTCATTTGTAGATGTTTAGAGTTGTAACCTGGCATGGTCTGAAGCTGTCCACTGGGTATACAGGCTCTGCGGTCCCCCCTGCAGTCAGCCTCTGCCTGTGCCCTGCCTGGGGCTATCTGTCAGGAGCTACAGAGGGATCTGTAGATGGCTGCTACTTGTGTTTGGCTTGGAAGTGCCCAGGAGAGGCCAAGCTGTAAAACAAGGCAGGCTCCTGCTATTGCCGGGCCTGGAACCTCTTATTGGGAGGTATGGGGCACACTGAGTCCAGCTACTGTTTGTTTGAGGGGTTTTAGGACAGACAGAAGCCTGAGCCAGGACAGGCCATTCATATGGAGAAGCTGCTGCAAACAGCTTGGGTGGGGCTGCAGATTGGATGGGGCAGGGTCTCAGGGAGTCACCAGGGCAGAGCAAACAGTGCGAGCCGGTCTGATGGAAACTCAGAGATGGTGCCTGTCATTCAGCTCTGTGGCCGGGGAGGTCCCAGTGCAGGAATAATCACCCCTGTGAGCGTCCCTGTCTGGGAGAAAGCCACCCCCAAGTTCTTGCCCGGTGTCAGACAATTCAGTTCCTCCCCTTATTTATGTCCTTGGATCCCCCCAAGCCGCTGCCCCAGCGTTGGAGCTCAGAGGAAGCGAATCTGAGTAAGTCTGTGTGCCAGCCCTTTAAGAGGAACTGCCTGGTCTCCAGCAGCCTCTATGTGCGTCAGCCACAATCTCTGCTGGTTTTTACAGCCTGAAGTTACGGGGACTTTTCTTCCTGGCTCTGGAACCCTGGGCTGGGGGTCTGGTGTGGGGCTGGGACCCTTCCCTCAGCCTAGAAACCCCTTCTAAAAAAGACGGCACACGTGGCTGTCGGGCCAGCCCGTTCTCTGCCTTGACCCTTCCTGTCGGTCTTGATGTGCTTTCTTCTTCTCTAGTTGTAGAACTGGAGCCAGATTGCAGGCAGTTCTGAATGATGGTTCTGTATTTTGTAATTTTGATGTGGTTGTGGGAGGCGGCGAGTACAGGCATTTACCTACACCGCCATCTTGGTTCTCCAGACAGAACCTTTCAAACCACACACATTCAGCAGGCTTCCGCGGCCGCTGAGGGAAAGTAACCGGTGGAATGGTTTTGTTTTATATCGAGCAAACAACATTTAGTTAAAATTTAGCATTTAATCCAAAGAATGTTAGCTTTGTGGGGTCAGGGCTCGGCCTCTGTGGTTGCTGTGCCCAGAACACCTGCTAGGACGAGGTCTGGCACGTGGGCATTCATAGTTGCCGGTAAGGTAGTGTCTCTCTTGATTTATTAGCAGCTGGTAACTTGCAGCAGTTTTACCAGCCCACCGTCTTTGTAAAAAACAATCTGTATTGCACAGATTTTCTGTGGGTGGTTGGCATTTTCTTTATTTCTGACTCTAGGGTTGAAAGCCGGTTCCTCTTAAAGAAAGCTGTGTGCAGTGAGCAATGAGTGGGCTCTGGAGCCCAGGGGAGGTGGGTGCTGTGGCTCTAAGTGGCCGAGGGGTGTCCCGCTGGCCGGCCTGCTCCCCTGCCGGCAGGTGCATCCATGTGGGCAGGTGCATCTCCCTGCAGGGCCGTCTGCAGGATCGCGTGACGCTCTCTGCAGGCTCTGGGGCGGATAAGTAGTCATTCCAAGAAAGGATGCTTTCCTTCCCTCAAGGGTGGGTCCTCTTTCTAAAAGTTTCGCAAGTCAGGAAAGAACGCTTGATTGCTGATAGCAGAAAAAGAACAGTCATGGTTCGGTACTGTAATGGGGTCAGTCCTTACAGAGCGCTAAACCCAGGAAAAGTGAGTCAACTATTACATCACCACCTGGCATCCTTCTACCCTGAAATTGTGTGTCCTGTCAGTTTAGTCATTTAAACTTTATGGACTTTTACATAGTAACCATGGAAATATTTGCCTGACAAGGGTTCCGCCAAAGTGATTTTTATGTGGTTAGATGGGTGTTCAGGGACAGGCCCAGCTTATCCTAAAAGTTCCCCGCCGTCCACCCCCGCGTCCCCCACGTCCCCCGCCGTCCGCCCCCGCGTCCCCCGCCATCCGCCCCCGCGTTCCCTGCCATGCCTTCCTCCCAAAGCTGCTTCCCTCTGGCCTGATTCCGAGTGCAGATCGTCCGGAGAGGTTCTGTGTGAGCTCTTGCTTGTTCGCCCTCTCCACACGTCCCACCCCGCACAGGGCCCTGCCCGTCTCAGGTGCTGCATTTGTCGGGTCACCGTGGCATTCACTTGGGTGGGGGCTGGGGGACGGTTAGAATGGGGCAACAGTTTGGAGAAGACTTGGTTAAAACTCTTCAAGAAGTTCATTTTTTGTTTTGTTTTCTTTTGATTTGAGAGAGAGAGGAAGCAAGAGGGAGAGAGAGAGAAATATCAATTGGTTGCCTTCTGTAAGTTGTGCCCTGACCGGCAGTAGGATCCAAAACGTTTTTGGTGTACAGGATGGCACTCCAACCAGCTGAGCCACCCGAATTCACTTTTTGTTTGTTTGTTTGTTTGTTTTGTTAATTCTCACCCAAGGATATTTTTTCCATTGTTTTTTTTTTTTTTTTTTTAAAGAGAGAGAGTGGAAGGGAGGGAGGGGGAAAGAGGAACATGGATATGAGAGAGGCACATTGATTGGTTGTCTCCTGCACATGCCCTTACCAAGTGGCTGGGGATCAAACCTGCAACCCAGGTACGTGCCTTTGACAGGGAATCGAAACCAAACCCTTCGGTGTGGGCTGGTGCTCCAGCCATTGAACCACACCGCCCAGGGCAGGAGTTCACTTTTAAGTACTTTTCAGAAGCTATGACAGCGTCAGTTTTATTTATAACAATAAATAAAATGAAAGGACAAAACAATTTTTTTGCAAAAAAATACAAGAGGAAGCTATATTTATGTCATCATGAGATCTGATTACCATAGGATTTTTAAGTATTTTGTGGTGTTTGAAATGGAACGTGAGTGTGTAATTGTGAGTACAGTTCAACATGTGACATGTTTCAGCCCATGAGGCTCCTCGCTTCCAGTGCCTGTTTCTGCACTGCTCTCGGGTGTGGGGAAGGCCTTCCTGGGGGCGAGTGGAGACATCTTCCCATGCGTGGTGGATGTTCTGAGGACTTGCCTTTTTGTTTCCTTTCATGTTGGCTGTCACGTGGCTTTAATGGCTCCATTAGCAAGCAGGTGTGGACATTGGTGACAGTGTAATGAAAGCCTCCCGCTTTTTTCTTCATCAGAGATGCCTTTGCTTTTATACCCAGAACTTTTTCTGCCCCCACGTGGGGTTGCAGACTTGCACCCATTGGCTGCATGAATAGGCAGAACACGCAGTTACGCTTTGACTTGGCCCTGTGGTGGCCCAGCGCTGCACCCACCTGCGTAGGCACACAGTCAGGCAGGCTGCTTGGTGTCCTTTCTCCGGTGTCGCTCATTGTGCTCCTAACAGAACCACCATCTCATCTCATACTCCTCCGTGATGTTGGAAATTATCCCTAGGAGTTTTACCTGGTATTAAGATCAAAGTAGTTGTTTTACTGACAACCTCAATTTTTATGTCCTCAAGTGTTTCCAGTGATTTTTATTCATTTGTGTGTGTGTGTGTGTGTGTGTGTGTGTGTGTGTGTGTGCCTTCTTGAAGTGGCAGTATATGATTGATTGGCCAGGAAATTTTTGAATTTTGCAATGCTGAAACTCCAGCTTTGAGAAAGAATGTCATTCTTACACCCCTTACTCTTCAAGCAGAGTTAGGTGGCGGGTGAGCCACGACGATCTGTTACTGTAGGTCTGGAAGTCAGGGAGCTTCCAGAAATAGGAGTGTGCGTGTGCTTGCTGCCTGCACACCTGTCTACCTGACCGTGGAAACGATGTAATTCTTGTTTTTGTTCTGGTGCAGCCTCCATGCGGCAGTCTCAGGCCCTACCTGCAGACATGCGTCCGGAGATGTGGATCGCTCAGGAGCTGCGGCGGATCGGGGACGAGTTCAACAACTCCTACCGCAACCCACGGAGGGTAATGAGGGTTTCTTACTTACGCACCCCTCTTCTCCCACGCTCCCTCCCACCCACATACATTAAAGTGGCCAGTCATCATCCCACGCTTGTTCTAGAAGTGATGGGCGTGGCATGCGTGTTGCCTGCCGCTCCTCCTTACCGTGTTCCGTTTGTGTTATGGCTGAACTCAAGTGCTGGTGGCTCAGCAGAACCCAGTACGAGTGGCAAAGGGGGTTCGTGAGCACAAGCCTTAAACCATCGTAGATGCTTTGAAATAGTCCCACATAAATGTTGTCATAGTTTCAGCCCATATTGGAGTGTCTATACTCCCGTCAGTCAGTTTGGGTCAAAGTTAAAGAAACATTTAACTTTCCGTCCTCACCCAGCCAAGGAAATGAGGCCCTGTGGTTTGCTGGTGATGGGTCGGAGCGTGTGACGTGGTCCTTTTGGCCCCATTGGCTGTCCTTAGACTGTCATTTACTGAAACGTATTAGAAGTAGGAGGCCATTCATTAATGTCCTGTAAAAATTACAGCTCTCCCACAACAATTTTACACCCCAAGTTGATTGCCACTTAAATTTTTGGAGTGTGCAGTTGATTTTATTTTTTTTTAAATTAAGCTCTATGTCTTTTTCGGTAGACGCAGTGTACTTCCTGCTTGCCTGGTATTGGTAGACGTCACCATTGGGCACCTTTTCCCCATGAAGACATTTGAGAGTGTGACTTCAACTCTGAGAGTTCAATGGGGCCCTTAGGAGCATGTTTGACTACGTCAGTGGTTCTCAACCTTCCTAATGCCGCGACCCTTTAATACAGTTCCTCATGTTGTGGTGACCCCCAATTTCATTGTTACAAATTGAACATAATTAACGCATAGTGATTAATCACAAAAACAATATGTAATTATATATGTGTTTTCCGATGATCTTAGGCGACCCCTGTGAAAGGGTCGTTCGACCCCCAAAGGGATCACGACCCACAGGTTGAGAACCAGTGGACTACGTCCTGTGAGGGGCTCACCAGCCAGTGTGTGATTTCATGGAATTCTGGCTGGTTTACATTTTTTTCAAACAACCATGTATGGAGATATTTCTGTGGATTTATTTCAAAGGAAGACGCTTAAATCTTACTTTGTAGGAAATCATTGTTAATGTCATTCCTACTGTGTCGCTTCCCTTCTGTTTCTTTTCTTTCTGAGCACTGTCGTTGCATGTGAAGATATTTTTAAATCTCGTTTCTTCTGCAGGGAGGTCGTACTTAGGACACCTCCTTGTTTCTGTCCTGCACTGAATGTTGGTGTGGTTGCTAAACAAGTAGACGTTACCTGTTAATAGCTTTCGATCATTCCTGCCCATATACATACTTTCAAGCTTTTTTAAGCACATCGAGACAGTTTCCCATTTCATGAGGGGGGGGGGGGGCGGGGTAGAGTCTTTGGTGTAGAGTCTCCATAAAGGGGTCAGGGACTTTCAGAAAACTCACATTGGATCCCCTTCAGACCTTCCTGTGGGAGAGAGGGTGGTGTGTGGTGATTGGTGGGAAATGTGTGACAGTGTGATTCTGTCATTAAATGGGAAATGTCACTTAGGAATTTCTTAGGATACTGTCTTTAAGCCGGCAAAATGTCTGGAATTCTAACCTAGCCTGACATGGACCAGTTCACAGAACTTCAGTTCCTTCTCAGCCTAGATCTTGAAATGGTAATTGTTTTTTGCAGGGTTGATTGTTTTATAATGTGCAGTAAAGTTACTGTTCCCCACTTCCTCTGCCGAGGTTTCCCTGAAGGGCTTTCGGGGGTGCTGTGTGTGGCTGGGCAGGACTCCTCAGCGAGGGCCCGGTGGGTGGGCCCTCGGTTGGTCCCCATGCGTCCCTGCGAGAGGGTGGGCTGCCTAGATCCAAAACCTGATTGATGCTGGATTGTGCCCATAATCCAGCAGGAAGGTCTCTGGGGAGCCTGGCGCCCCTCGGGGTGAGTCTGGCAGTGAACCAACCCCAGCAGCTGGCCTGCCTCCTACACCGTCTCCGGGTGGGTTGGTAGATGTCTTCAGGACCAGACCTGCCCCGGAGATGAGGCCCTTGGGCCCTGGCGCCTTCAGTGTCCAGAAGCTCCGGACACGTAGGTACACGGTCCTGCCCGGTGACCGTGCCAGAGCCTTTGGCTGCAGAGCCAGGTGTGTGGAAGGATGTTCTGTACATTTCTCTAACCTTATATGGAGAACCAGTGTCCACTAAGCTCTCCCCCGAGCCTGCCCAGACGGGTCTGGGTGATGCCCCTCTACGGGGGCCTTAGGTGGTCAGTGATGAGACAAGGGCTAAGGATGACGTGGGGTGGGAGCACAGCCATCCCTTCACCTAGGCTGTCGAAGGGGTGACCAGTTCTAGTCACGGGCAGACGAGACACAGGCCATTAGGTCGTCTTCATCACCTCGTCTCTCCGTTGCAGGTGAGGTGACAACATCTACCACGTCAGTAGCGTTCGATCATTCCCGTCCTTCCTCCCCCTCCTCCCACTTATTCCAGTTTAATGTTTAAGATGGTTGTGTCTCCTGTTGCAGATATGTAACCATCTGCTCTCAAGGTATTTGGTAAGATAGGTGTAAATCTCATGGCATTCTTTTGCTATAAGTCGGCTGGGATACTGGGGGGAGGAGGAGGGACATGCAGACTGTAGGTTATAACCTGATGTTTCTAAAAAGGAGGCTAATATATCCTCCAGGTTTTATAAGTGGCCAGTTCAAACACCAGACTCTGAAACTCAGGGTAGTGACCCAGTGACCCCGAGAGCCACAGGTGCCTGCCTTGATGGTGTTACATTAAACAGTCCATTGTCTGCAGTCACACTGACGGTTTATCCTTGAATACCGGGGCCAGAAATTTAGGGGAAACAGGAGGCCTTTTGGGAAAGTGATGCCTTGAACTTTCACGCTGGCTGCGCACGGAAGCCTTTGCCCCTCAGCGAGCGTGCATTTCAGATTCTTGGTGCCTGTATTTGCTTTAAAACCGTGACAGTACCTTTTCTGAAGTGTTGGTCTTTGATTGCCACGAGCATGCGAAGCCTGACAGGATATTCTCCCGTTTTTCCAGTTAGAGCAATAGAGGAAGTTGTCGCGTAGTTGTCGTGTGTTCAGGCCGCGTCAGGGCAGTGGGGCAGCGTATGACACGGAGCTGTGGAGTCTGAATCCTGGAAGCAGGAGTGAGAGAGGCACAGGTGAGCACGTCCACTGCATGTTCCCTTCCCCTGTGATTCCGCGTGATGCCCCAAGTGGCCTCCAGGGCCGACGACACCCCTCTTCCCCCTCTGAGGGCAGCTTCCCCGCGCCACGTCGGGCTGGTTTTGTGACTTGTTCCGAAATCATTTCAGACTCACACAGAAGTCGCAAGGATGACACAAACAGCCCTGCTACGTCTGCTCTCCACTGTGACCCTTCCCACACTTGCTCTAACGCTTCCCTCCTAGTACCTGTGTACATGTTATTTTCTGAAGGATGTTATTTTTGGGGATACATTGCAGGCATGGTGTCCCTTTACTGTTAAATACTTCTGTGTGTATTTCCTAAGACGAAGGGTATTTTCTTCTGTAACCTCAGTGTAGTCGTCAGACTCAGAAGCTAACCATGTTGCGGTAATGTTGTGTAGTCGGTGGACCTTATCCCCACGTGACCCACTGTCCCAGCCGTGGGCCATGTGTCCTCCGTGCCCAGCATCAGGAGGCACGCGCCCCGTGCTGCGGACTCTTGTTAAAGGTGGTGCTCCCAGCTGTCGTCAGCACTTTCCTGTGTTGATGGGAGGGACGCGTGCACAGGGGGACAGCTCTCCTCTCTCCCCGGGCGTCCCTTCCTTCATCAACAAGTTCATGGGTCCCAGTGTATTTTTATTTATTTTATTTAATTTCGTTGATGAGAGAGAGAGAGAAAATCATCGATATGTTTTCCCACTTCTTTGTGTATTCATTGGTTGATTCTTGCATGTGCCCTGGCCAGGGATCGAACCCGCAACCTTGGCGTAGCGGGATGACTTTCTAACAACTGAGCTACCAGCCGAGGCCATGGGTCCCTGTTTAGTTCAGGGGGTTATGATGTGTTCCACTCAGTACTTATTTTGATGCTCAAATTGTCACAGGTTCGGCCAGTGGCAGCCGCCTGGTGTCTTCTCGCCACGTCATTGAACATAAAGTGTCAGGTAGTGGAGACCCATGGACAATGTGTTGTGGGACTGTAGATGGATGTGTGGCTAAATGACCTGCACCCACACAGTGTCCTGACGCTTACAGCTCCAGGACCCTGCAGGGGGACAGGTGAGTGCGGGGCTGACAGTCATCGTCCCGGACAGACCTCTCAGAGGCGAGGGCTCTGTGTGGGGCTCTGTGACGAGGGCGAGGAGCTTGTGGGGAGTGAGCGGTGCAGTGTGGAGGCCTGTGCTTCAGCAGCCTGCTCCCTGACTCCGCCGCTTCCTCACGGGTGGCACTGGTGCCCTGGGTTCCTGAGTAGCCTCTGCTAGTTTCTTCACCCTGAGAAACTGCGGGAGGGCGATCCAGGGCCCGGCCTTCCCTGCTGGAGAGGCGTCAGCAAGTGTGGGCGTGGTCACCCAAGGGTGCAGGGTGGCGTGTGCTTGCCCATGTGGATGGGCCAGGCTTGCGGTCTGAGGCTGTTGAGTGTTTGTTGGACGCTGCAGACCTGAAATCACGTGCTCTTGGGGTAATTAGGCACATCCTGTAGCCAGCGTGCCCCCAGGCCCCAGCCCCCAGTACCAGTGCCTGTCCAGCCTGAGCCAGTCTGTGCTCGGCCCCTGCTGTTGAGCAGTGTCCGGATGTCCTGGTGGTGGACTGCAGGGGACAGCCACACACACAGCTGTGGCAGACTCTCTGGATGGGCCAGGAGGTGGGTGAAAACCCTTTCATTGCTTGATCATAAGGAACAGTGTGTCTTTGTTCACAAGGCCTACTTCCTACTTGTGTCCCAGGCGTGTGCGGGCATGAAACAAAGGGACAACCTGCAGGCGGAAGCGCAGCATGAACCAAAGCAAAGAAAAAAGGGGCTCACGCTGTTTTTATAAATGATCTTCCTTACGGATCACGTGCAAGGGAGAGGTCTGCCCTGAGCCTGCTTGGTTCGAGCATAAACTGAGCAGACCCCGGGGCTGCGTGTTCTCCGGCGGCATTCTTCTGAGGCCTGCGTTAATTGAATGTTGGCGTTTCATAAAATAAACTGCTTCTCATTACTGCCTGAGCTGAGAATAATGAGAAAAATGTGTGTCAGATATTAAACACACAATACAACATACAGATCCTATAGAATTATATTCCTAAAACTTATGTGATTCTATGAACCAATGAGTTTAATAAGAGAAAAAAGTAAACTCACTCATAGGATGATGAATTGTCTCACCCTTTGCTCACATGAATTCATAGAGTGAGCGCGTTCAGAGCCAAAGCAGTGATGAGTCAGATAAGTCGATTGGCACCTGCTGTTTGTGAGTTTCAGGTTTAGCGAGTGTTTTCCTTGGAGGTGGATGCAGTTGTGTGCTTGGTTTTAAGCATCTTGCACCCCCGCCTTATGCCGTTTCCACACCCCAAGAACAGTGACCAGAGGGCGAAGACCGAGACCCCGCCACGGGGATGCCAACCTGTGGCAACAGAGCCACCCCTTCTGTGGCTCCTGCTCTTGTGTGTCTTTCCGAGACCTGCAGGTGGCCTAGATTAGCGGTTGCCAACTTTTTGGACCCCACGGACCACCAGTGGTCCACGGACCACCAGTTGGCGACCACTGGCCTAGATGATGGCGACCGTGGGTTTGCATGTTTTGCGTGAGACTTCCCATGACTTGTTGAGGATCAAGTGTGATCTTGTAGAAAACACAGCTCACGGCCAAGTGGAGGCCTCGGGGTTAGACCTTGCAGCGTGTCCATGCGTTCACCCATGGGGGCCACTGTCGGGCAGTCCCTTAGGCATGTCGTGAAGGTTGAACTAGGGCATTTAGGTCTGGAGCTAGAAAACGCTGTCGCCCTGTCCCAGCATTCTGTCTGCTGCCACTCTGAACTATAATGGAAACATTTCTCGGTTCTCTGGAGTTCAGAGAGAGATGCTGGTAACTGTTCGCCTGCCTGGGTCTCAGGCTCTGCCTGTCAGACACGTGCCTCGGCCCTGCGGAGGTGCCGTCTGGGTGGCGCAGCGAAGTGAGGTCGAGCACTGGTGCGTGCTAACCGGCTTGGCCACATCACGCCTCTGACTGCTCCCTCGGGTCTGCCACGTGGGGCACCTGCACGCTGCCTCGCCTGCCTTTGGGGGGAGCGTGGCCGTGAACACGTAACCAGAGCAGATGCAGGTGCCCGGAGGGGGATTCAGAGTGTCTCCGGGGGTTTTCGTCTCCGGAGGAGGAAATGAAGATGTCCCCGAGGTGAGCCTCGGCCCCTGCAGGCGCCCTGCCTCTCCGTCACCCTCACTAGACCTCCAGCTGAGCCACACAGAGGTTAGAGCTGTGGTTAGTGTGCACGTCTCATTAGCATGTTTCTGAGGCTGGGCCTTTCGGAACACTGGTGCCCTCTGGTTGGCTCCCCTCCTGTGACCCTCACAGGTGATGGGAGCACTTTGTCTCAGCCAGCCTGGCCCGGGGCAGGGCCAGTGACTTTGTACTGCCGGAAGACATGCGTGTTGTTGGAGGAAAACCCAGGACATGGCAGGCCCGACTAAGGTGAACTGGAGGAGTGATTCATGCATGGTCCTACAAAAGGCCTTGACTGTGACAGAGTCTTTGAAATAATGCATCAAAAATAGGAAAGTGGGCCTTAGCTAGTTTGGCTCACTGGATAGAACAGTGGCCTGGGGACTGAGGGGTCCCAGGTTCGATTCCGGTCAAGGGCATGTACTGTGGTTTGCAGGCACATCCCCAGTAGGGGGTTTGCAGGAGGCAGCTGGTCGATGCTTCTCTCTCATTGATGTTTCTGACTCTATCCCTCTCCCTTCTTCTCTGTAAAAAATCAATAAAATATATATTTGGAAAAAAAACCCAAAAAACGGCATTCATGCAAATGCCGTTTTGCTGTGACGTTTGACATCGCATCACTGCCCAGTGAGGTCAGCCGGAGCCTCGGGAGTCGGGAGGTGCCCGGGCAAGCTCCCCCTGGACTTCCAGTAAGAGCACTGCCTCTGGCATCGGGGCTCCTGGTATTCTGCCCACAGCTGTGCGATGCCCCTGTTGCCTGGGTACAAGTGGAAAGTGAACTTGGTCTTCGGATTGCTTTGCAGCAGCATTGGCCCGCCAGCTGAGAACGGCAATGGATGGTGGAGCCACATAAAACCTAAGCTGAGCTGCTGTGTGACTGGTCCTTGGTCTCACGGTGGACAGGGGTCCTATCCTGCAGCCTCTCTCATTCGCTTGCCATTTAAAATACTGTTTTGACAGATTGGTTATGAATGGGCAGAGGGATGGTGGTCTTCCCTGGGTACCGCTGGCTACTCTCTATCCCCACCCCACCTTGTCACCTCTGGTTACGGCAACACTCGGCACCATCCCACAGATCCCGGGCCAGCCCTGGGGGACCCTGCATCCTCCCTTGCCTGAACCCGGGACAGTGCCCTCTCTGTCAGAGTCCTCTTTGGTCTCACAGCCCAGAATTCACTCTCCTGTGAAGTTCAGGACCTCTTGGGCGTTCGGCGTTGAAATCTTGGCAGAAAGAAGTTGTTGAGCAAGTTAAAAAATGGCGTGGCGTGATGCTGAGCGTGGGGGTGGCACTCACGCGGTCGTTGGCCCTGCCGCTGCGGCGCGGATTGGTGGGCCGGTGCCCGCAGTATGCTCCAGGTGCAGCTGCGTCATGGGTTCTTGATTCTCACGTGGAGCTCGGTCTCTCCACCACACTGGCTCAGGGTTGTTGTGAAGACTGAAGGGAAGCGTGTGGCACGCTGTTTAGTTCAGGGATGGCAGTGGGTGAGTCTCCTTGTCTCCAAGCTGGAGGCCTGGGGTGTCCGGGCGCCTTTTCCGGGCTGGCTCCTCTCTCTGCAGGAGAGGAAGGCTGCCCTGCGGGCAGGTGGGCAGTGGTCAGCCTCCTCACCACGTCCCAGGCGGGCTGGGATCAGGCCCCTTGTGTCCACCCGCCTGCTTCTCTGGTTTGGGATGAGAGCCTGTTTTGCTGTGATTATTTTGGCATTAAAGCGGGATTAAATTCCCTAGTGTAACCTGGGACATGTTACTCAGGCTGCAAGTTGTCAATGGTCCTCGGGGGTGGGTGAGGCTGTGTCGGCATCCTCTGCGCTCTAGGCTGCTGCGCACGGGGGTCTCGGGGCTGTGCAGCACCCCAGCTCTGCCCTGCACGTGGGCCGGGCATCTTCCTCCCGCTGGCTGCTCCCAGCCCTCGGGAGTCCCCAGGGAGCCTGCTCTACCTGCTGCCCAGCGGAGCCAGTGTCTCCAGGGCCACCTGGGCCTCGCCTGTCCCAGGGAAGCTTGGAGCCCGTGAATCCTCCATCCTCCTGTTTTATTTTCCAGGGACTGTCATTGGAGCGGACACCCAGGAGTCTGGCATTGGTTTCTGTCGTGGTTTATTGTGAGAAAGCAGATGCTCATGCGGTTTGACTGGACTGTTTGCTCCCTCCCCGGTGCAGGGCCGTTGGACCTCCTGCCGTGACTCACACTGGTCTCCTGGAATGTCCTCCTCTCCTTCCTGAGACCCGTCCTCCTTCGGGACTCGCGTGGGGGTGGGCCTGGGCCTTCCTGCCCGGCCCTCCTTCCTTCTCTGCCCTCTTGTTTCCCTGTGTGGCCCTTGTCGTAGGATCCTGTCCAGCTGTTTGGCTCTGTCCCTCACCAGGGTGAGCTCCGTAGGTGCTCACGTTGCATCTCCTTTGACGGAAGGAGCCTCCGTGTCTTGGCTCCGTTCTGCTGCCCACTGGGAAGCCGGCCTGTATTTCTCTGGAATGTTTTCTGTCCTCGAGGTGGGGACCTGCACCCTTCCTCCTGGTCCCAGAGGTGGGGCAGCGGCCGTCCTCACGGGGGGGCAGCGCCACAGGGGCCCTCAGATGGGCTGTACGTGGCTGTGCTGCGCTTGGTGCCGGTGCCGCGGGACTGCCCATCAGGCACAGTGAGTGCAGGCAGGGGCCTCAGAGCTGGAGCCCAGGGCCCCGCCTCGCCTCCCTCTCGAGCAGGCCTGGCCTGCTGGAGCCCCCACCCTGCAGGGAGGAGGGCAGATGGTCAGGAGTGGGTTCCTGGAGCGAGACACAAAACTGACGTTGATGGAGTCCCTGCAGACACATGGGCTGGCCATAAAGTTAATTTCTTCAAATACAGTTCCTGATCTAGACCATGGAGATGCAATCCCCTACAGGGATGGGCCATGCGCTCAGGTACCTGTGAGTGTGTGTGAGCAACAGGAAACTGTGATACACAGATAGTTTGTATCTAAAGTATTTTTATGGTTTAGAATAAAACCGCGCGTTACACGACTCTAACCTAACGGGTGCTGTGTTTCACTTCAAGTGTGAAGGACCAGGAGGGAGAGGCTGTGGGAGTCAGCTCAGGCTGTTGTGCCAAAGGGGACCACACATGGGGCTTCAACAATGGAAATGTGTTTCTTCACAGTCCTGGAGGCCAGCAGTCTGCGGGCTCGTGCTGGCTGGGCCACAGGGTCTGCGTGACGCTGGTGGCCGGGCCCTGGCTGGACGTCCTCACCCAGCCGTGGCTCTCGGGCCACCGGTGCAGGTGTTGGAGGCTCTGCTGTGCAGGTGTTGGGGGGCAGCGAGCCTGCGGAAGCAGGGTGCCCGTCCGGCTGCTTTGGAAGTGGGGGCTGGACCCTTGGAGCCGGCAGCAGCTCCCGTGGCTGTGCCAGCTGTTGGGGGTTTTCTGGGCTGGCACAGCCCTTGGAATCAGTGGTAATAGCTTCCTCTGTTGAATATTGTCCAAAAGCAATTGTTCGCTGGCTTAAAAGCGTGTGCTGTGTTGTCACGCGTGCTGTCTGAGAGGGCAGGCGGTCTGGCTCCTTGCTGAGATGTTGTAGTAACTTCTCATCTGTTGGGGCGGGGGGGGGGTAGGGGGGAGGCAGGTGTTACGTTCTTTTTGCCACAAATCCCCGCACCAACCCCTCTCAGCACATCTTTGAATCCCCTTCGTGTCCTTCCCATCTGAGATCAAAGCAGAGCTCTAAACGTGGGCAGACCTCTCGTGGTGTGACTTTTCCTTCTCCACGTCCCCTGCTGTCCTGGTTGGGGGGGGGGGGGTCTCCTCAGACACTGCGGCTCTGGAATATGAAATTGGCTAAGTCTGTCCCCGTGTGACCGGCCCCCTGGTTGGTGTCATTTTCACCCCATTCTCTGGCTCTGCTGAGGCTGCGTTGGCACCTGGCTGCCGTGAGATTTCCCATCTCGCAGTGCTGGCTGAGCCCGGCACTGCACACCCTTTCTTCATTTTAGTAAGTCGTGGTTTTATTTTGAATAAGCCTCTTTCAACCTACTAATATTAGTCTGAACTAAAACCTCCCCCAAATTCTTCTCACACAGAAGAAGCCAAGTGATTTTGAAAGTTAAATCAAAACAAAGCCACCTGGTGTGTGACAGATAAAATCGGACTGTGGTTCGGGAGCCTGCAGGACCCGCCGGCCGGCTTCCTCGTCTGCTCTGGAAGGAGTTGGGAAGCGCCTCGCTGGGCCTTACCGCCGTCCTGCTCGGGCCACAGATGCTCGGGGGCTGTGGCAACAGTCGCGAAGGGGACTGCCCAGCAGCTGCTGTCGGAACGGCGTGGGGTCTGAGACTGGGCCCTTGTCACAGCCCCCAGAAGTTCACCCTTTGGGGAGTCTGAAACACACTTGGGCCGTAAGCTGCTTCACATCTACCAGGGTCGTTCTTCCCTCCCCTGCGCCCTGTCCCTCTTGGTGGACACCAGCTCCGGGGGCCGGGCAGCGGCTCTCCTGCCCCGGGCGGTGCTCCCTCCCAGCAGCCAGTGAGGGTATCACCTGTGACAGGAACGTGTGGTCTTCAGAGGGGCTCCCGGAGATGCCAGGATTCGCTCTGCTTTTCCAAACAGTCTTCTGGTTGCTTTATTTTTCTTTGAAAAAGACCCTTCGGTGTGCCTGCTCTTTGTGGAGGTGCACCTCCTGCAGGGGGTGGGGAGGCCTCCCTTCGCCGGCCCCGGGGAAAAGGGCTGCTGGGACGGGGCTGGTTGAGGTCCATGAAACTGAGAAAGTAAGCAGCTTTCCTTTTGTTGTTCCAGGATCTTCTGCATGTTTACCAGGAAGCAGAAGGCCACCCCCAGATGGTGGTCTTACGACTGTTGCGTTACATCCTCCGTCTGGTGTGGAGGATGCTGTGACGACGGGTTCCCGTGGAGCCGAGATGTGTGCAGACATTTCAGTTGTTCAAGCGGACAAGCCCAGCGTCACGGCCCCCTGGCGCCATTGCTTTGCGGCCAGTGGCGGTCCCAGAGCGGCCGGTGTGGCCTGACACCTGGAGCTGCGTGCGGACTTGACCTTATCGGTTCCTCGCCATGTGGCAGAGGCTCTAGTGTAGTGTTTGTTATGAATGTAAATGAGAGCATATTTTCCTTTTAAAAATGTTACTAATCATGGTTCTTTGGAGCAGGATTTTAGGCAAGAATGGTGTAAGAACAGGTTTTTTTAAAAAGGAAGTGGAAATTTTTAACCAACTCATAAATGAATTTTTACTAAAAATTTAAGAACCTATTATGGAAACTCTCATGTGGAAACTGAGCCAGCTGGTTTCTAAAGCTGCCTTAGTTTATTTTTACAGGCTACTGTACAGGACTTTGAAACATGAGAGGTGTGTATGATATGGCCCCTCCCTCCCTGCCGTTGCCTCTCTCGCCTTCTTTTAATCATGATTACCAAAAAATTCTTATGAGATGCAACTGATTCAAGGGGTAAAGGGTCTTTTGTCAGCCTGTGTTGGTATGCCACTGCCACTGTGTAAATATTGACTTACCTCCTTAAATGTAATTGCATCCGTGGCAAAAGTGCAGCTTGTCTGTGTGGCTCGTCTTCTCCGGTATGGCTCCTCTCTCTGTCCTGGGTGCTCATGCACACATTTGGTCCAGTGCGTCTTCACGATTCAAGTGTAACTGGGTCAGAACGTGACTTGGAATCTGCCCGTGTTGCCCACAGCTCGGCCAGTCTTCGGGGAGCTCGCTCACCGGGGAGTGCTCGGTACTGGTTTCCACGTGGGTTGGTGGGCTGGCGTTGAAGTACAAGTGTCCTGAAGAGAGAGAGTGGCGACAGCACAGACACAGTATCAGGGCCCTTGGCACTGTTGGCTTTTCCGGTTGCAGGCTTTCCCTCAGCACAGGGGGCACTCAGCATGAGGCCCCAGGGGGCTGGCAGGCCCACCTGCGGCTGAATTTGGCTGCAGGAGTCCAAGCTGGAGTCCTCGTGGGAATTGGCACAGGCTGTGGTGGGCAGGGCTTTGGATGGCTGTTTCCTGGGCATCCTGGCTTTCCGTCCACTTCCGAGTTGATCTGGTCTCTGACGCCCACCACTGGGTTCCCGCTCTTCTATACACACTTTGAAATACAGGCTTCATTCGCTCTGAGCAGCGCCATGAAAACTCACGAGGCACACGTCCGCAACGGTCCCTTCTGGCAGCTGCTGCTGGTTCTTTTCTCTCGGACAGCTGGGCTTTGTCGGGCCTCCTCTGTGCATCCACTGCTTCCTCCACGCCCACCTGGGAGGACTGCAGTGAGGGCACCCACGGGTGATCAGTCATTTCAAAGGCGGTTAAACAGCGGGGAGGCCCGAGAGGGACCGGTTAGAGAGCAGGGAAGGAAGGTGCCAATCATTCTGTGAACCCACAACTCCGACAGTTTTTGAAACCTCAGATCGTGAAACAGTTTCTTAAGAGAAATACATGATTTTTCAAGTGAGTCAGCAGTGCCAACAACTATTGCATTTCCTTTTGGCCCACCAAGGGCCAGCGTTTTCACATTGTTAAATTGCAAGGAGAAATTCATGTGTCTCTCCATAGTTTTATATAAATATATATGTATACATATATGTATATACGTGTGTGTATATATATTTTGCATATGCGCTTTCTTTAGGTAGAAATATTTGATCTCAGATACTTTTCCTTTTTTAAAATTTCTTTTTCCCCAAAATCCTTTCTTGGGGGTCTTGAATATTTTTAAAACTGTTGAGACTGAGCTTGTGTTCTTGGTAGGTCTGGAACCCCCTTGCTGGGGCACCAAGGCCACACCGCTGGAGGTGGTGGTAACGTGGCCGTGGGCCTACTGGACACACACCAAAGATGTATTTGGTTCTGGGCCCATCCGCTCCCAGGATCTCCGTACTCATGTGCCAGTCCCTCTGACTGGAGCACTTTACCCTGTTTCTGGGAGCGCAGGATGCAGCCCGGGCCGCGGGCTCGCTCGCTGCACCCGCTCCTTTACCTCTGGCTTGGCAGCTGGCCGTGGCCACGCGTGTGAGGAAGTGATTCTTGGACGTGTAGAAGTATTAAGAACAGGATGTTGCACCAGGACATGAGAGGTGACTGGGTGTCTCTGTACTGTACGTATCTGTGTATCAAAATGCTTCCTGCAGAAAGTATACCTGCGATGGTATGCCTTTTCCTTTTTCTTTTCTGTTTTATTTCTTTGTAGAGAAAATAACTAGCTCCCTGTCTGAAAATTTATGAGATGCGGGTTTTGTGCCTTGACCACCTCTTCCCATGCAAGATTTGTAGAACGTGTCCTGTGACGATCACAGAAATGCAGTCAATGCCCCCCAGTCGCTCCACGGCGATTCTTGCAGTTACCCGTAGTCCGGCCTAAAAATGAGTTTATGAAGAATTTGTTTTTAGTTGTGGAGAAACCAGGTAAAAATTCCTTCTGATTTAAAAAAGAAAATGTACTCAGTCGAACCTTCTCCTGTTTCCCCTTCTTAATATTGTACATATTTTGACTATTTATTAGATTAGATCATATTTTACTTACCAACTGAGCCAAATGTCTGTGTGCAATTGTCTCCTTTACCTTTCTTGTAAAATTTTGTACAGCATAAATGAGCAAAAAAAAAAAAAAAAAAAAATCACTGTTTTTTACTAAACTTTTTCAGAATTAAGGATTGTAAATATTGTAGATTCTTTTTCTGTGTAATGTGTCCTACTGGTTCATAGTGCTGTAACTTGTAGACATAATGTATATTTATTTTCTGCTTATTTAATGTCTTAATTTCTGTAAAGTGTTGACCTCTGACACGCCCTCCCCTCCTTCCCCCACCCCCCCACCATCCCATTATTTGCTTTAATTCTGAGGTGGCGACTGGTCAGCTCACTGCCGGACATATGGTCTTCCTAGGGTGGCTCTCCAGCTTTGGTTCCTGGTATATGGTTAAATGGGTTTACATGCTTGGTCTTTGCTGTCCTTTGATAAAGCTCATGTTTAGACACCAATGAGAGACCATAAATCGGGCAGGTTTCATAATTCTTCGGGAAATACCCAGTGACTTTCTATTGGTTCCAAAACAGCTAGCTTCCCATGGAAGCAAATTCTATTAGCTTCCAGGATTTGTCTTTTTTTTTTAAAAAAAAAAGTGTTACTGGTCATTGGGACAGATTGACGCATTGAAAATGTATACCCGACAACTCAGTATTCAGAGGGCAGGGGGCGGGTGGGAGAGGTTCCTGCTTCCAGACCAACCAGAGGACCTACCTGCTCGTGCCACTCACCCCCTGTTGGCATCCGGTGAGCTGCACCACGTCCGCCTGCTGCGTGGCCTCCGGTGCTTCGAGGTGTGGACTGAATTGTCCTCAGGAGCTAGTTGTACGGGCCCCTGGCCCGGAGCTTTGGTCCTTCATTGGGTCCGCCTGCTTCCTTAGGTTGATGTCCTGCTTCAGGAGAGGTTGGGGGCCCCATCAGGATGGGTATTAAGATGTGGGAGCTTCAGAGAGACTTTTCTCCTGGTTTGGTGTAGATGGTCTGTCATCCCTGCTGATTTAGCCTGGTGCCTGTGTGTGTCCACTTTGCACATGCGTGTGTGCAGGGATGTGGTCACACATGAGGCTAAACCAGCTGGGGTAGCTTCTACTCCAAGCAAACAGTGCGGTGTGCAAGAGCATCCTCAAAATCCCAGCGAAGTAACTTGACTACTTGTACTGGGCAGTTGCAGACTTCTGAAGCTCTCCGAGGCCTCTGTCCAGGTCCCGCAACCACTCGTCACTGTGTTGGAACTCATCAGGTACTCCTGTACAAGAGCACTGATCTGTGTGGATACTGATTCGTCACTAATGTGTTCCTAGGACCCAGCATATTGTAGCATTTGTATTGCAATTTCCCTGGCTCACTTTGGTTTGCACTGATGAATTTTGACAGGGTAATTGCCACTTTATTGTGCAATACTGCTGTAAATAACTGCAGATTTTTTTTAAGAAACTCAATCTTTTTATGTTCTTACTGAATTTTATATAAATAAAACTTTTCAACTGGTTTTGGTAAACTGATTGATTCGTTTCACAAGACGGCGGTGGAACAGCTCGCCCACACCCGCCCTTTGCCAGCCACAGTGTATCCCCTGCCTGTGGGTTTTGTGAGTTCTCGCTTGGAGACGATCCTGCGTATTATATTTGAAAGCAAGCCACTCTAGAGGTTTGAAGTGGCTGGCGAGACAATGCAGTGTCTACTCAGGTGTTCAGTTATGACTCAGCACCTGATGGAGGGGGTATTGGGAGCCAGCTCCAAACCACGTTAATGAGTGATGATGGCAGAGACCCTGACATCTCACCCCTGCTCAAAGCTGGAAGAAAACCCAAAAGCTGGAATCTGGGAGAAAGGGCTTGTCTGCAGCACCTGCCCAGGCCCCAGAGAACGGCCAAAGAAGGCCCCCTGAACTGACCATGCCACCTATAAAGGGCCCATTGAGTGTCCGGCCTGCGCTGGGCATTGGGGGTGAGCTAGTTTGTGGATGCAGAAATTAAAGGCTGATTTGGGGATATAACCTACAAAATTCTATAATTGCATAACTTGCCACTTGTACTCTGAAGTAAGTGCTAGAAAGGTTAGAGACCGTGGCTAAGCTTTATTTTAAGTAATGCACGAATCTGGCCTTGTAATTAGGTATGTATGTGTGTATATGTGTATGTACATTTATCATTTCAAATCAAGTTGTTCTGGCTCCCAGCCTACTTCCTCTCCAAGGCAGGAGAGTGAATTTTTCCAAACTCCTCTGCAGGCCGTGTGTGTGTGTGTGTGTGTGTGTGTGTGTGTGTGTGTGTGAGACTGTGTGCACGCACGCGCGCATGTGTGTTATAAAGGGGTTTCTATTTTCAAATGGGTTTCCATTTTTCCTATTGAGAGTTAGCGTTTTTTTTTTTGTTTTTTTTTTAAATATATTTTATTGATCTTTTACAGAGAGGAAGAAAGAGAAATAGAGAGTTAGAAACATCGATGAGAGAGAAACATCGATCAGCCGCCTCCTGCACATCTCCCACTGGGGATGTGCCTGCAACCCAGATACATGCCCTCGACCGGAATCGAACCTGGGACCTCTCAGTCCACAGGCCGACGCTCTATCCACTGAGCCAAACCGGTTTTGGCGAGAGTTAGCTCTTTATATATTCTGTGTAAAAATCTCATGTTGGAAATATTTCCCCTGCAGTCGGTTGCTTACCTTTTTTCTCCAACATGATGAAGATTTGCAAACATACAGAAAAGTTGCAGGAATTTTAGAGAGCACCACGCACCATCGATGAGCCTCCCAGCCACATACCACCCACCGTGTCACATAACAACCTACCCATCAATCCACCTACTTTGTGATGTATTTCAAAGTAAATCGAAGTCATTGGCAACCTTCCTCTAAATAAATATAATTTAGAGTTCGTTTTTCTTTTTTTTAGATGAAATTTACATACAATAAAGCATCTGAACCTTAAGTGTGCACTTGCTCAGTTTTCACCAAGGGTACAGCTATCACCCATCCCGATTCCCGGCACTCCCAGGGCTCCCTCCTGCTCCTTGTCCTGCACAGCCCCAGCGGTGGCCTCTTCTGATATTTTTCCGCCATAGATTTATTTCTATGGGTCACTTGAATGGGATCATGTGGCATGTGGTCTGTGTCTGGTTTCTTTCTTGTTCAGCATCATGTTTTTGAGAACCCCATTACAATGATCAATAATTTCCTTTTTATTGCTGAATAGTATTCTCTGCACCATCATGAATGAGCACTGAGCTGTGCCACTCTGGGGCTACGATGAACACGGCTGCCCTGTGGAGTCTCATACGTGTCTTTTTGTGGACGTGTTTTATTTCGCTGTGTGCCTCCTAACTGCTGTCATGCACTTGATGTGGCTGTAACCATTTTAGAAGTCAGTTTTATCAACCTTAGATTTCCATATTTTGTATTTTAAGAGTCCTTCCCCATGCCAAAGTTTTAAATATTTCCTTACGTTTTATTCATATAACCATACAGTCTTTTAATCTTTAATCCACCTGACATTTGTTTTTCTAACTGCTGCAGTGTGACTCTAACTTCATTTTCTTTGCACCATCTTTTTATTTAATCTGCTATCCTAATTACTATAGTTTTATGATATGTTTTTAACTTCTCATCCCTATTTTTCAAGATTGTCACTGCCATTCTACTTTTTGTCTTCCATGTGAATTTTTGAATAGGTTTTGTTTCTTAAAGATTGCTTAGGAGTCTTGTATGGGATGACAATGACTGTATATTAATTTACAAGAGTATCACCTTTATAACAAGACTAGAGGCCCTATGCATGAAATTCGTGCAAGAGTAGGCCTTCGCAGCCCCGGCTGTCTCAGCCCTCACAGCCCCAGCTTCGTCCGGAAGGTCGTCCAGAAGGACAGCTGGATGGTTATTCCGCTGTTTGGCCAGTCAGTCGATTTGCATGTTATGCTTTTATTATTATAGATGTTTTCCAAGGTGAGTAGTGTTTTCCTATGCTTTTAGTGCACTGGGCTTCTCTTCCCATAGATCCTGCACATTTCTTGTGAGCTTTTCCTAGGGAGGGGTGGGATTACCCAGCATCCCCAGTGCACCCCCTTATAACCACAATTGCCCCCCTTATAACCACCAACTGATACCTTGGACCTTTTCCTGCCCCCGGTGCAGCTGAGAGCAGGCCCAGGGCCTACACTTGGTCAGTCCAACGCTCTTCCCAGCTCTTGGGGTCTAAGCAAGTTGGACAGGGAAGGCTGCGGGGTGTGCTTGCCATTCCCTGGCCATGGTGCCTGCTGTCTGGCCACCAGCAGGCCAGTCCCTGTCTCCCCAGCCTCCTGTTTGTTCGTTCCCTGGACTCAGTGCCCCCCCACCCCTCCAGCTTATGCTCATCCTCCTTGTACTAAGCCAGAGTGGGCTTCTGTGGCTGGCAGCCGCAAGCTGAATCATTCCTACTGTCAGCAAGGACTGAATAAAAAGGCTGAAAGTTCTCTTAGCCATTCCGGTGTGAAGTGACCGGCTGATGGTTACAATTGCCATTGATGAAGAAGGGGCTCTGAGATGGAAAGTGACAGGGCACAGTGACGGACTCCAGTCTTCCTGTGGGTGCCTTCTACCTCGGGTCTCCTGAAAACTCTTCCTAAGGCAAGCCCTAAGTCCCAGGGGACTTATCACCAAGGAGAAGATACAGGTACCAGAATGGCAAAGGCCTGGTTTCTAGGCCTGTTGCTGCTGATTTACATCTGTTACTGAAAGGGACTTGGAAAGGCAAAATTAGAGAGTCATGACCTGCCTCTGCGAGCACCTTCTCGGGCCTGGCCCCTCCCAGGGCAGGACGCCCTGCTGCCCACCCAGGCCTTGGGGTTCAGGCCAGCCGAGCTCCCAAGCAGACTCCCGTCACCCACCCAGCCAGGCGCTGGCCTCCTGTGGCTTGCAGGTCAGTGCTCTCGCCCCTGCCACGGGGCTTTTAATCGCTGCCTCTGAAATTGTGTGTCTGGCCTCTGGACTGTGAGGATCAGCGCCATGCCCGGCACCTCGCAGGCCTCACACATGGCCCCATGTCTGCAATTTACTCTCATGACCTTGGGCGCCTGGGAGGACAAAGCAGACGTGGCAGGTTGTTAACATCGGGGAGTTTGGGTGGGGGCTGTAAGGAAGTTGTTATACTGTTTTTGTAAGTTTGAAATGATGCCAAATTTTAAAAATTAAGCGGGACCCTCTGGTTGTGCCTAGATGTTGGTGGGGAGCAGAGGTGTGGGGACAGTCAGGCGTGCTCACAGGGGCCTGGGGCCTGGGCGGAGGGAGAGAGAACCGGGAAGCCGGACTGTGCCAGAGTGACTGTGGGTGGCACTTCCTGAGAAGAGCAGGGAGGGGCCGGAGGGGGCCTGGGGCAGAGGGAGAGCTCCAGGGCTCTGTTGGATGGAGCTGCCCGCTCACCTCACCTCGGGGCTTATCCAGAAACTGTTATCAACTCATTTTAAAGAGAAAACGCTGGGTTTTTGGAAAGAGATCCCAGCCAGTTGGACTGTAAACCATTGGCTGGGTGAAGGAAGCCTGCAGCGTAAATCTTCAGGCCTTGGCTGTAATGAACCAGCTTCTTGTGAAACACAATGTGAGGACACG